ATATTTCTGGAAATAGTAAAATTATATTTGTGTAATGAAATCAGTAATCATCTACTATAACGAATAATTCGTTAACGTTATAACGAATTATTCGTTATACATACTGCATAATTCGTTATAGCGTTAACGAAGATTCTTATAACGAAGTTCTGATCAGCTGGATCAGCAACTTGGTTATATCGAGATGTGACTGTACATCTTTTCAGAATCAAAACTTAGTAATAAAATATAAAATCTCCCCTATATAGTAACTTTTTATTATAATCACACTTTTTATTTTTGATCTTAAGGGGTGTGTCTATAAAGGAGAACGACTGTGTTTCATAAATCTTTTGAGCTCTTTCCTTTGTCTTTTAGAGTAAATTTTTACTAACTGATTTGAAAATCTATTTTCTAACCTCATTTTTAGAATGTATGCTTAATATTAAATCTTCAGAAAAAATCATATTAATCCTTTAATACCTTACTAAAATGAAAATAGTAAAAGATCAAATCTTGAATTGTTTTCTTACTAGCATCTTCAGCATTAAGGATATCTTTATACAATTTGAGAAAATTGATAGAATCATTCATATTAAAAGTGAAGGAATCTAGTTGTAATAATATATAGTCTTCAGAAGTATTGATTAATAATTCTTAAATAAAGTGTTTTAATATAGATGAGTTATCTCTTCCCAAAGATTTGATCTTTTTTTTTAAGGTATTTTCAGCAAATGATTTGTTAGAATACCTTCTTTGCATGGCTTGTTCTACTAGAAACATTTCTAATCTTCAGCTAGGTAGATAAAGTACTTTTTGTATAAATTGTCAATATAATTATAATGCACAGTATGTTTACAGGATAAAAAGACAGTATCTTGAGAAAAATCTTTAGTAATTTCTTCAGCACTAAAGATAGTCACCGCAATTAAAAAAATGATGCAGTTAAGTTGCAACTTGTGATGCAATTAAATTTCCTTATGGTACAATTAAGTTGCAACTTAGTTGAAATTTGAAAATAATTATGGGGACTATCTTTATTTAGCACATTTGGTATATGTTAACTGGGTTGCTATTTTTTAAATTAATGTATTCTTGACATCCTCTATTGATTTTCCAGTATTATTGGTGAAGTTAGAAGAATCTTTTCACCCATCAAGTTAAAATAAGCTGAAATTTTAATTGTTTGGGATGATTGTAAACCTTTCCTAGTAGAATTTGGATTTATGATAATATTGATCGTCTTTCTGTAATTGGAAAAAAAACATGCACTGGTTTGATATGTAAAAGTTGCTTCTTATTATACGACCTGTGAAAAATATGTTCGCAAAAAAGGATGGTAAGCACCTTGATGGGTAATGATAAATATTAATAGTACATTCAGAATATGGCTCTAGCTCTGAAATTTCTTTATCCCCAACCATATCTTATCATCCTCAAGATACTTTAAGATATTATAGGCAAGGTTTCTATGGTTGGTAAAAGATGGACGAGGTCTCTCTGGGACTTGGTAAGATTGATCTTTGGTTGATTCTGTGTCTGACATATTAGTTTAACTTACCAGGCTTATAGCCAACTGACCTGATTTTATAGCACTATTAAAATTTCGCAGGAGCTAAGGAGCTTCTGGATCAGCATTTCATTACGCATTGCATTTCGTCATTTGTTAATCCCCCTTGCAAATCAATAAAAATGACAAATGCTTAGCATATGTATCCCTACTTTTTTTCTCATAAATATTCAAAAAAAAAGATAAACAATAACTTATTTATAAAATTCAAATAAGAAAGATAATTTTCTGATTTGCATTTTTTTTGGTCACAAACGCAGTGAATGGATGGTATGAAATAATGATTGCTGGAAAAATATCCACACCCGAATACTGAAATAAATGCAAATTGAGTCAGCCCCTATTCATTTGGCAAGTTTTTTTTTATTTCAGGTGATCGATTTCACGTGATTATTCATGAACAGAATAAAGTTTTATACGATCCTTATCATATACACTCATTGCATATAACTTCTTATTAAATGCTTTCTTTATTATTTTTTCAATGATGTGATGCAGAAAACGCAAACATTCGATTATACGATGTAGTAGTCATATGAAAGTCATAGGTAGTCTCAATGTATGAATGATTTAATCGATTTGATTTACTTTTTCAAATAGATTATCTGCAGGAATTTCGCCTCAGACCCAATAGTGTAATGCATCTAATATAATATTAGAATAAAATTTGTAATATATAATTTCACTTTCATAATACATGTTATCATCGAAATGGAAGAACATCTATCTCAACCCATCAGTAAGCACACCGTTAATTGGTTTCCTATATCACAAGTAAAAACATTAGAATTTTAACAAAATAATATCCAATGAAGGATGTAAGATCATACTTTTCTCTTTTATGTAGCGCCTTCATTTGTCCAAGAAGTTCGCCAGTACCTTGAGCAAATGACTCATCTTTCTTTGCTTCAACAGCACAGAATACACAATGGCTTGGTAAACTATGCCCGGCTTGAAGTGACACTAAAGTAGTTAAGAGTAGTTAGAAGAAATTAAAAGCAGAGTATTTAGCCTGCTAATTAGCAACTTACGATTATTAGGTTCTGCTCTTTCAGCAGAAATATAGTCAATTGATCCCCTTAAAGTCAAATCTCTTTCAACATTTTGGGGTCTGACATAATACTCTGGATATATTGCTAATTTATCTTTTTTAGTGTCGTAAGTTTTTGGATCATACTTATGGTCAACCGCTTCCAATAAGTATGTATCAACTATCGTCCTTCTTGCACTTTCAAGCTAAAAATTGTGAAATACAGTTAAAATAAATTGGAAATAAGTTTTTGAATGAATTGATTTTAACTTACACTTAAGTTCTAGCATCGAAATATCCTTTTCATTACATCTTCAAAAAGATTTGAAGGTTTCAATGCTATTTCATCCTTGAAAATTAAATAACCATCCATTTTGACTTCAAGCTGAGATATTTCTTCGATCTCAATGCTTGAAAAAAATTTAACCTATGTACAAATAAAATATTTATTATATTGATACTTTACAGCTGAGAATCCCTATACTTACAACTCCGTCTGATGAAAACGCTGAAAGTAAGTCTGTTACAATGTCATCTCTTTCTTCTGCTAATGCTAATTTTATGCAGTTTTTAAAACTTGTTCAAGTCTAAAGGATTGCCTAACCATCTTTTCTTTACGTGGTGTCATAAGCAATGTTTCAAGTTGCTCAAGTCTTTGCTTGTTATATAATTTCGACCTATATCGTAGTCCAGATGAGATACTATGAGAAAGCTAGGTCGCCTTATAACGAAAACTAAATGAAGCATTTTTAATGGTACGAGAAAGCAAAAACATGATTACAAGGAAACAGTAGGTGAAACTGGAAACAAAATCTCTTGTCATAAGTTCGCAGTAGAAATTGGCATGAAGAATTGAAGGATGATCTTAAAGACCAATTTCTAAATCAATGGTGGGTTCGAAATAAAGTCACATGAATTTTAAATGGTGATGAATATATCCCGCATGGCAAAAAAAACCAACCAACAAAGAACTTATCCTATCCCTTACTCATTCCCACCATCTTCAATTTGGGTTGAAGTTAACATTAAATTTGATATAATTGATTCTGCTTCTTAATGAAATATATTAAACTATTAGATATTTATAGGTAGTGTATAACTGAAAAAAGATCGCAAACATGCAATGACAAATATTCAACTCGCTAAACTCATTGTGCAAGAACTGAATTTCTTATAGTAGCTTTTGCCCTTGGCATAACACTTCATTCAGATATTCCAAACCCTAGAGCTACCTCAATACTAGTAGGAGCTTCATTAAATGATTGTTCACATTGAGGTCAATATATTGGTTACTGTCCTCGTCTTAATTATGATGCAGTTCATTAGTGCAAAATAAATTGGAATCGATATCTAGATATTTGATATAATGTTCGTATTGACTTTCAATCAATTAACAGAAGGCGATGAAGAAGATGATAAGGAAGACAGTGATGAAGATGATGAAAAAGATGATTGTGAAGAAGATGACGAAGAAGATGATGAAGAAGATGAATGATTATGAGGAAATTAAATTTTACATTTATTTGAAAATTTAATATTAACTAATATGTAATGCTTTTTTCAAAACAAAATTCAATTTTAACAAAAAGTTTTCTTCATTATTTTCAAAAAAATGAGGTTAGAAATATTTGAAATCTTTAATGCGATAGGGGAAAATAAGATTCTTCGTATCAAGACTTTTGCTGCATTCAGTTTTTCAGATCTAACGAGAATAGGTCACATATATCATAAAAAATTTTGAAAATTGGGCGAAAATTACTACGTCATAGTCACATGATACTGTTAAGCATCAATGTTAACTGGTATAACTGATGGTTGCTTATCGCTTTTGTCTGATCAGTTATAGAAATCATACTTTTTTGTTAAGCTTCGACAATTAATTTCTGGATCAGAAATATAATATGTAACCTTAATCATGTACTTATATTTGCAATTAACAAGCGTTATCGATTTTTCCTTTTAATTGATAAAAATAAATTGCAAGAGCTAATGCTAATCGTAAAACTTTAAGTTTCTATCTACATAGTTATATACATTTATAGAATTCTAAATACTAATTGTAAAATCATTATCACTTGATAACAATTACGCTATCTAATCAAACAAATGAGTCAATTTACGTTTCTCTTCATCAAACAAACTCTGACTTTTCTTAGCGTCACAATGATAACTTCCCATCCTAAAGTCAATTAAGTAAACAACATCATTAGTATCATCAAGCAAATATTTTCCTCATGAATATCATTGTGAAGTACACCTCTATCATGAATTGCCTTTAATGTAAGACCCATAACTCTTTGCCGTTCTGTTATATGTTTATAATTATTTAAAGCAGAACCAAAAAGAGTCATGCCAATAGCATAATACATCCCACCGTAAAAGCCATAACACAACAAATTTGGAATGTGAATTCCCTGAATATCAGAAAGAATTTTATAAATATTGACTTCTTGTTGCATTTCTTTCAAGACATGTGAGGTTTTCGATAAATCAGCACACTTCAAAGCAATTGTATTTCCGCAGAATTTACATAGCAGTATCTTTCCACTTCGTCCTTGTCCTTGTCCTAATATACTCTTATACTTGAAATCTGCTAAGCTAAAATTTTGAATAGGTTTCTGTATTTGTCTTTTTTCATTTACTGCGGCCAAGGTACTAGGAGAAGGTCTCTTCTTAGAAGCTATGACTGTCGTCCTTCCCTTAGTTGATTTAGTAGTTGATTCAGATTAGGAGACTGACTGTCTTTTTCTTTTATCGGTAGTTATAATAGGATTTTAGAAAAGTGATCTGCACATAAAACCTGAACCATATATGCATACGTTTTAAGGACCGGTGGTGATTGAGAATTAATCGGAAGGGTTTTTGAAATATAAAGTACTGATGGTTTATCAGCTGGTCGGCGCAAAAACCAGTGATGTTGATAGGTTGATAATACACTATACTGAAGTTGAGCTTCTACTATATAGGTAAAAATCTGTCAAATAATATATTCTTTCATTTCATAACATTTGTTTGTTTCATCAAAATCCATTCATCATTCGATTGTAACAACAATTGAAAAATGTGTTCCTCTTGATCTCGATTGGTGCGATAAATTCAAATGAAGCAAACATGGTAACAAATTCTGGTATACCAGCGATAGGAACTGGTCATCTCGAAAATTTATAATTTGGCAAAGGATCATTTAAAACTAGACAAATATTAGAATAAAAAGCGCTGCAAATATCCTCTTTGTTAATACAAGATGGGAAGTTGGTAAATTGTAGTCTTTCAAATTTCGGTTCATTATCAAAGTGAAACTTATTAATTTTCTCGAAAAGATCATCCCAAAGAAGAATCTTCGTTGGATATTGATCACCTGCATATGTAGTATTCTGTGAAGTAATAACATCTGGATGATACCCAATAGGTAACGGAATACATGATAACGCTTATTCTTGACTAAGAAGTCCTAAAAAAAATAGCTTTAGTTACTACGAAAATTAACTGCCTTGAAAGACGTCCATTGAATATAGAACTTACTGTGGTTTTTCAAACTATTAATTAATAATGCGATCCTTCTTGCTGGTCCATCAGGGAATCTCTAAGGTTCAGCACAAAGTATTTCTCTAGTTAATTGAAGGAAATCAAAACTGGTGACCCTCTCATCACGAATTTTTCCATAGTCATTGTTGTTGAGGTATAAATTCTTTGTTCGTAAAAAATTAATAAGTTGTTCTGTACTAAATCTTTCCACGTCTTCTACCAAGGGATCAGACATTTAAAATATAGTGGGACAAAAGCAGGTTAGCAGTTGTACAGAAAAAAGAAAAAATTTGCATAACACAGATATCTGTTAGCTAAATAATGTGTAAATTAAAAAAATTTAGCTGCAGATAATTTCGACTATAATTTCGATCGATCAATTATATATTAATTCGTAATCCGTGTTAAATTTACTATTAAATTGGGTGAATTTTTATTTTTTGACACATTAAAAGATCACCTGATATTTATTTTCTATCTATCAATGTTTTGCTAATATTCTTAACGACTTTAATTTGAGGGAAAGATAGATTTCAAGCCAATTTGAGCGTGCAGTTCAATAATGTGAAATTTCAATTTTACTTTTTTTATAATTTTTTTTATATATTCTCTTTTCAAACCATTTTTATAACATTTTATTTTGTATTTATTTTTATTACATTATTATTTATTTTATTATGCACTCGTTGCTCCTAACATATCAACTGACTTTTCCGCCATTTTTTGACGATGTTGTGTTGAATAACGAAAGATCCACCCTTGAATAGTTTGTAATTTTAGAATCTCATCATAATCTAATTCTCCTTCCTCAACTTTACTCTTTAGACTTTCTAGCATTGTAGTAGACGTAAATCTTTTACTTTTATCAACATCTAAGAAATATTTTTCTAAAAGTTCCCATACTTTTTTAGATATGCGCTTTTCACTCCTTTTTTACCATATTTTTATTTACTTTTTAGCGCCCATTCAGACTATCATAAAAGGAATTCCTATTGGAAAGGTAAGATTCTAATTTGTAAATTATTAAACAATATTCAAAAACTAATCTATTTACTATATAACATTTTGATTTTCTCGTTTCTCAGGAATATCTTTGATCAAAACAAGCAGCAATTAGACATTTTTCCAATAATTTTTATGAACTTTATCTTACCTCTTTGTATTTCTAAAGCAAGTTCTAATTCTTTAATCAACTTATCTTTTAGCAGTCATGGTAATAATATTTCGTTTTTTTAATTCAAATAATATTTTGTTCTTTTAAGATCAATACCTAGATTAAAGATAAAGTACAGGTTGGATACATATTTATAAAGTTAAAAATAAGACATATTTTATCACCTGATATATTTAGCATAGCTACTATCCATTTATTTTTAGAAATTATATGAGTTTATACTGTGGGATTTGGAATTTCAATTTGCTTTTTTTTGCAAATTAGCTATTTGTGATGATGAAAATTTTATCTATTTTCTAATATTAGGAATTTCTTAAGCTGGTCAAGTCCATTCAAATAAATTAAAATTATCAGGTAAAATATTTTTTATTTGCTTATTTTGGCCTAATAAAGTAAATCAAAAATCAGATATTATTTATTAATAATTATTATTTCCTTTAATTTTAAACATACCTTTTATTCAATTTAGTTCTAGATATGCAATAGATGTTTTACAAATATCTCTAATTACAATTTCAATATCAGTTCCTTTTATTATATACACATTTGATATAATTGTATAGATAATCTAAAAAATAATATTAGATATAAATAAGTCATATTTTTTTTACTTAATACCTGAATGTGATAACTATTAATTAAAGATAGTTATTAGTTTTACTCAATACTATCCAGTCTGATCTTAGTCTTTATAAAACAGACTGTAATTTTAACATAATAAAACTGATAATAAGACTAATTGAAAAACCATCAGCCTTATATTTTGATCTTATAAATAAATTAATTTTCTTCTTTTTTATAGATTCTTTCAGTAGCTGATTATAGTAAATTTGTTTCTTTTTTTCATTTCTTTTGTTTTTTCATTTTGTTACTTCAAAATTCTAACAATTTTCTCTATATTTTTTTTTAGAACTTCATTCTTTCAACTCTTTCAATTCTAGCTCCTTAAATAATTATAGATAGGTCATTTTTATTATGTTTTCTTTTATTTGCTTAATTTTTTTTGTTTTTTACTTTATTTCTTTAAACTTTCTAACATTTTTATTTTTTATTTTTAATAATTCTTTTAGCCATTCTAATTTGTAATTATAGTAAACTAGTAATCATAATATCATCAATGAAAATACATTAAAAATAAGTAAATAAAGTCTTTTGGTACCTTAAAAATAGTCAAAAATTAAGCAAATTAATTATATTACATTGGTTAAAATTTAGCTAAATATAGAAAATATTACTTCATAAAATTTCTCTAAGTTGGCTAAGTACATAAACATGTTACCTCTATATTTATTTTCTGGATCCTATACTCATGTCTAAATTTATCTTTTTACAAATGTAAAATAGTCTTTCTATTCTTAATTTCCAATAACTCATACATAATTATTGCATTTTCTATATCACAATAAGAATATTAATATATTCTTAAAATTGTAGCTGAATATTTTATTTTGTTTATCTTCATTAATATTCATTATAATAACAATTATTTATTTATATATATTTTGTCAACAGAGCAATTAACCAATAATAATGAAATTATGTGAATAGTGCAATATAATGATCTTTTATTTAGAATTTTGAAAATACTGAGAAGTCTGCAAATTCTAAAAATATGAAAGATCTATGTAATTTTGCAGATCTTCTAAATACAGATAATAATTCTAATTTTATGAGTTAAACAAAGTCTAGAAATATTTAGTATTATACTTATTCTACTTTTATTATTATTTTTATTATATTTTATATTTTATTATTTTACATATTTTTATTATTTTTAGTATATTTATTTTACTTATATTTTATTTATCAAATTAGTTAATTTATAGTATAGTAAATAGTTAGTCATTGTTACAATAATTTTGTAATTTTAATAAAAATCTAAAAAGGATAAATAAAACTAAGACAATTACTTGAAGAATCACAGATGAGGATTTACAATAACATCAAAGACTCTCTTAATTTTACTTTGCTCTGGAATTAATTATTGTGAATAATAACTTATTTTTTCTTTTATAGTCTTCAAGAAAATTAATAATGATGATAAAGTTTTTTATCATTACATAGATAATATAATTTTAAAATTGTCTAATATGAAAACTATAACTGATACTAATAAAACAATGTGTTATAAATTTATTTCAGTAATATTACATATATCTATTACCATAACTAAAAATCTCATTCTTAAGATATATTCATTGTTATTATTTTACAAAAGATATTTCTAGTAAAGTCTAAAAGAGTTTTTTTATATTATTAAAAGAAAATCACATAATATCAAAATTAGATATGCTCAAATAAATCTGTTCATCTTATCAGTCTATTAGCTTTAAAATAAGAAGACTAAAGAATAATGTATTTTATCTCTTAGAATTTAATATAGCTTAAAAGCATATTTTAAATAAATAAAAAAATAAATCATAGATCAAATATTTAGAAATGATTATTTTAACTATATCTATAGTATTGTGATCACTAATACAGAATGATATATACACTAGATGGTATTTATTATACAAGTATCAGATTAATCTTACGAAATTTACTGTCAAAGAAAATCTTGAATTACTTTAAAATAGCATGAAAAGAGTAATATAATGATTCACAAAAGTAATACAATCACTAAACATAAAACTTTAAATTAATGTAACTTTTATTTATAAATTATATCAAATTAAAAAAAAGTTATGAGATTTTCTAAATCAAAATTTATTAAAAAATATATTTTTTTCTGATTTAAATCACGTGAAAAAAATCTATGCAGTAATTTTTAAGTTTTTAGCGTTACATTATTTATGTAATTTTTAATGATCAATATTTAAACGGTTAGGTTTAAACCAAAACTATAACAAATCTTTACATTAACATATTTATTTATTAAATTACATCTGTTATCACCTTGAATAATTCCCTTGGCCTTTATTACATTATTTATCCTTTTTGATATAGACTTGATTAAATTTATATATACATTGATCTTAATTATGAACTAAATATCTTATAATTTTTCTTATAAATCTTCTCTTCCCATAGCTAATTCTGAAAGGTATTTTAAATAATATTCAATTTTATTTCAAAGATACTCAATAGGATTTAAGTCCAGAGATTATGCAAGCCAGTAAAATACAATTACTTTATTATCAAAAAACCAGTCTTTAGTAAGATTTGTCATATGGGTTGATTGCTAGGAAAATCAGGTTCCGGGAATTTTTTAGCAAAATTGAGATTTTTATTGCATTTTAGTTTTTGATGTTATTAGATTAAAATGTATTAAGCTCTTTATTTTAGTCAAAAATTTCTCGGAACCTGATTTTCCTAGAAACACTCCCATATGTTTGAAATCATTATCATATTAAAAGATTATATCTTCAATACTTAATCTCTAATCTAAATAGATTTTATAAGATCTTCTTTAAGTATTTGCTGATAAAGTTTTCTATTTAAGCTACCATTAATTATATAAAAATTATTAACACTTTTTATTGAAAAGCATCCCAAACTATTATATTACCTCTACCAAATTTTACCATTAGTTTAACAAAAGAACTTCTTAATAACTCCTTTTAATATTACTGTTATCTATCTGAATCAAAAAGTATGAACTTATTTTTATCAGATCAGATTACCTTCTTCCAATTCTTCACTGATCAATTTCAATATTTTTTGTGAAATTCAAATGACATTTACAATGTGTTTTTAAGGTAAGGCTTCTTTTTCTAAATTTTTAATGCTAGACTATTTTTTTGAAGTGTTTTATGTATAGTTTCAGCTAAAATTTGAATATTATTATAGTTTTTAAGTCACTTTATATAGCAACTACTGTAGAATATTCATTTAAAACAACAAGTCAGAGAATTTTACATTCAGTGGAATAGAAATGACTCAGAGATGATTTGTTTTTTTATTTTTAAAACCACCTGTCTCTTCTTTACGTTGATAAATTCTCAAAACTGTAACTTATAGACACTTTCTTTAGTCATAATGATATTAACTTAATAGCTTTCTTCAAAAAGGATAAAAATTTTTCTAAGGATAATTGTGATATATTAAAAATTTTTTATAATAAATAAAAGGACTGGAAATTTGTTTCTTAATAATTATATAATATTACGTAACTTATTACTTTTTTGATTTTAATTTAGCTAAAAATAGATCAACTCAAAATCATATAAATAATGTAATACCTAAAATGATAATATTGTGATCTAGTTGTCGATCATATAATTAAATAAGAATTTTAATTATAAATTTATATGAATTTTAATTTAGAGAACTCAATAAAATTTATTTTATTTGAATATAAATTTATGAATAAAAAGTTACATTAATTTGAAGTTTTATGTTTAGCAGTTTCATTACTTTTATAAGTCATTGTAAATATAATTATTGGGTTATTAAAAGATAGGATTGGTATTGATAATTTTCTAGCTAGCAAAAAGGTTATAATTAAAAAATATCAAAAAATAATATGTATCGCAGACTATATTATAAACATCTATATTTATTTTTATATGTATTAATAAAAATTTTTCTTGGCAAAAGTTATTAGCATAAACAATTATAACTACCCTAAAAGCATCTAAAAAAATTCTTTAATTATATGATTTATAATTATCTATCACTTGTATCACACCCTTCATGTTTTCTATTTTCATAAGTATTCTAGAAACTTGAATTTTTATAGTAATAAAAATCATATTTATTATATAATAATCATCATATTCTTAGATTTAAAGTTAGGTCAGGATTTAGAAATTATGATAATGTGAGCTAAATATCACATAATTAAAGAATTTTTCTAGGTGCTCTTGAGAAGAATCTTAATATAGATCCTAGATGTTTAGAATAATATCTTGTATTTCACATGATATACACTTGATAGTACAAAGTTACATTATATTTTACAATACATATTATATTATCCTCACATCTTAAAGAAATTTTGTACCTTCTAAAAAATTTTTCAAAAAAGTTTTATATCTTATTTGTTTTTTTCTGAAACCTTTAATAAAATTTTTGTTTTATCTAAAAGTAAATTATTTTAAATTTTTTGAAATAGATTTTCTAGCAAATTACAAAATTATTAGTTTGCTTATTTTAATGATATTTGCTTAGTATTTTAATTTATTTTTATAATGTATACTCACATATTTTTCAATAAAAATAAAATATTATTTAATAATGAAAGTAATATATTTAAAATATAATTATTCAATAGTCTTACCTAATTTGCAACAGTTTATAATATGTGAAAGGTCTATTCCTCTTGAAGTACAAGAAAGAATCATATTATTTTAAGTCATATTAAGTGTGACATTCTAATAATTTGTTTAATATTAAAAGAATTCTTTGATATTGTAACTTAGATCTATAATGACCTATATAATTTTATTTATCAACAAAAGAAAATTATTAAAAAATGAAAACTGAATGCAAATGATTTTGTAAAGGAATTAGAAAATATTAAATCTCAAGATAATAAATTTTAATATGAAGTTAGAATTAATTCAGAAACTAATGAATTGCAATAGGTAATATAAATGTTTCAAGAACAAAGAGTAAATTATTTTCAGTTTTTTGATATTGTAATTTTTAATAATACTTATAAAATAAATAGATTTATGCTGCCTTTTAGCATTTTATGGATATTAATAATTATAGGTAAAATGTATATTTTGCTGATGCAATAATGTATGATGAGAGTGCAGATAGTTTTATTTAAATATTTAATACTTTTCTAAAAATAGTTAATAATTATGCTTTGAAAGTTTTTCTTATAGATGAAGATCAAGCAATAATTAATGTAAAAGAAAAATATTTAAGCTATTTAGAACAAATTATACTTTATATTTATGATATTTATTAAAAAATATAACAAAAAATCTTAATAGAATTTTAAGAATTATATGGACAAAATTTATTAAATCTTTTTATAAATGTCTTGATGACTATAAAGAAAAAGATTTTCTAAATAATTGAAAATAATTAAAGTTTAATTATTTAGCAGCAATTAAATATTTAACAAAGATGAATAGGAACTTAAAATATTAGGCTTCATGTTATAACTGCCAAATATTTATGGCTAATATAACAACTATTTAGAAAGGAGACCTATGAATAATCTTATAAAAGGTTATCTAGATATCACAACATTTTTCTTATTAATTTTTTAAAAGCTTTTAAGTCTGCTTTAGATTAATGAAAAGAAGATATGGAATTTATGAAATTTTGTGAAAATTATATAAATGTTAAATTAATCATAAAAAGTTCTTATAAAATATAGGCAATAGACTTACTAACTAGATATACATTAGTTAAAACTCAAAAGCAGCTACTTGAATATATGATATATAAATATAAAGAAATTATAAAGTAAGTAAATAAGCATAAATTGTTTATTTTATTTATCTATTTAATTATTTGTATTTTTATTTTTAGTGATAATGATCAAGAAAAAGTAGTTATATTTAATGTGAAACAGTTTTAGAGTTAAGCAAAAGAGTGTATTATTAAATTTAACTTAGAAAATCAACAATTATTTTATAATTTGATACAATTAGGATTAAATCAAAATGCTAATAATAATTCTCTAGATTATGAATGTCTTTTGAATTAGACATATCAGAAAGTTCATCAGTTAATAAAAGCAAAATCTAAAATAGCAAAAGTTTTTTATATCTTATTTAATGAATTGTTATAAAAGGAAATTAATGTGTATATTTCAAAAAAACAATCAATAAATTAAGTCAAGAATCAAATAAAAAATTTGGTAATTATAAGACAAAAAGGTTATTTTTATTATAATTTTAAATAATTATTGTATTTTATTTAATTAACATTTAGAAAGAAAAATCTATATTAAGGATATGTATCTAATAAGAGGATTCAAAGTGGGTTAGAAAATAAAAAACTAATTAAAGGCAAGTATTAATACCCTGTTATTTAAATACTACTAAAATATATGAAATAAGAAAAGGGTCAGAAGTAATTTATCCTGAAAAAGAAAACAGCTTACAACTTTTCATTATTTATAAACTCTCAAAGTTTAACTGAAATTAATCAAGGTAAAGAGATTATTTCTTAAGATAAATTTTCTTTTATTTAATATTATTCCTATGTTTAAATTTGTTTTGTTAATAGATAGTAAAAAATGTCCATTTTGTATGAAATTACTATTAAATTCTCTACCAGAAAAAATTTGGCTATTATTAAGAAAAATTGGACAACAAAATGGTAAATACAAAAGAAAAAATATTTTAATTATTATTTATCTTAATTTTTTAATATTAAGTAAACTTACAAAGGAAAATTGCTATACTTTTTGTAAAATTCATAATGCAGAAACTACTTAAGAAACTTATATATTATTATACTTTTACCATGTAATTTAAAGTTAAAAATGTTACACATACTTTTGTTATAATACTTTTAATGCATTTTACAATATTAAACATTATAAATAAATTCTTTTAATTATTAATAAATAAAGTGACTTCTTTAATAAACAATTTTTTTAAACAAATTAATAGTTAATATAACAAAATTTATAATCTAATAATAATAAACTTCAAATTAATAAAAATAAAAAACCATATTCTTTCCAAACTTAAAAAAATTAATTCAGATACTTGCCAAAAACTTTTCTCATCTCAGACTCATTCAACCTCATTTTAACCTGACTTTATCTAAAATTTCACTTTTAGTAATGTTAAACTGTTATTTCTGATAAGTAATATTTAATCTCTAAGGTTATTTTTAGTTCATAACCTAAAAACTTATTTGGTATTATAAGCTATCCTCAAAGCTTTGAGGAACTTTATTTAAAAATTATATTAATCTGATAACTCTAAAGTAATAAGAATTGATAAATATTAGTTTTGTTAAATAAATATAATATTTATTCTTAAAATCTATAGAAAATTCAAAATAATTTGCTATTTCATTAGAGCTAATTAGTATACTTTAGTATATGTAAAGAAAGTCATTACAAATTGATGTATAACATGTCTAAATTCTTTTAAAATATAACATAATACTTATAAATTATGAAGGAAATTTTTTTATATTCTTTATTATTTCTATTATATGTTCTTAACCAATAAATTTTATTATTTTTTGAACTAATTATATTTAAGTAAAAGTAAAGTCTAGCATAAGGATGCTTCTCTTAGAATAGTTAACAATTATTTACACGTATGTGATTTTTGATTGTGAAGATTTTTCATTGTTACATATATGCTAATTTCTGTTTATTTTTCCAAATGTAAAAATCTCGTAATTAGTAGTATTGGTGATAGCTATAAAAATTTACCATAAATGTAGGAGCAAAGAAATAATATGATGCAAGAACTCACATTACATAATTTATTTTTTTATATTAAAATATATTCTATTCTAAAAAATAAAGTTTTATATTACAAACTTTTTAAAAATATGTTACATAAAATTTTTACAATTTTAAAAAATATTATATAAAATCGTTACAGTTAAAAACTACAAAATTGTTCTATCACTATTATTATGTAAAGAAATGTTATAATGTTAATTGAAGCAAAAATTAACTTTTTACTAATTAATTTTTTTATAACCTTAATCCTTTTCTTTACTTGTTCATTCACTGACTTTATTATATAGATTATCTTCATTATTGTATAGCCTTTTGTTACATATTTTATGCGTAATTTCTTCTTTCATCATTTTAATAATTCTTAGTTCATATTCTAAAGTAATATTAGCATCTAATTTATCATTGCTTATATGAAACAATAATAAAAGGTTATATAACAGTAGATATCTTAAACCATAAGTCATTAACTCATATCTTCAAAAATTCAACTTGACTAAAATACATTATTAAATGGAATAACTCTTAAACTAATAATTAATATTTTGATAAAAATAGTATCATTAGAACTATTTTGATGATAGCTTTCTAACGAATATAAGCTCAACCTGATTAGACTAATATTTAGTGAGATATTTTGAAATGAATGTTAAGTATAATTCTATAGATCATTACTATACAGAGCCATAATTCCTTAACATGAATTAGCGATCGATTAGCTAAAATAATGAAATAACAGAAACTATTAAAATGATAATAATATCATTAACGAATTGTTTGCTCTCTATTATACTAAAAATTTTAGAAAAACAAAAACTTTATTTTTATTAAAACTTTAATTATATAATATGTAGCATGCTGCAACAAAACCAGACAAAGTGAACATTAGTATTACCAAAGATTTTAGGGATCAAAATTTAGTTATTATCATTACAATTAGTTTATAATACCCTATTTGTTAAGTGATATATAGAACTGTCTCTATATAAAATAGTTAATATAAAACTTATTTATATCAGATTTATTATGGAACCTAAGAATTATAGTATCATTAGAAGTAAAGCTCTGAACAGTTTGGATTAATCTGAAAATTTTCAGTTCAAATCAACTTCGATTCAGTTTCGAATTATAAATCTAATCTGAACTGAAAAAAATCTGAACTGAACTGAAAATTTTGAATTAATCCAAAATTTCGGATTGTTTAGAACGATTGAAGTTATCATTCTAAATGAATGATAAAAGAATCGTTCAATTAGAACGATTAAATTATCATTCTAAATGAATGATAAAAGAATCGTTCAATTGGAACGATTAAATTATCGTTCTAAAAGAATGATAAAAGAATTATTCATTTAGAATGATTGAAGTTATTGTTCCAAATGAATGATTGAAGTTATCATTCCAAATGAACGATTGAAGTTATCATTCTAAATGAATGATAAAAGAATCATTTGATTAGAATGATTAAATTATCGTTTCAAACAAACAATAAAAGAATCATTCAATTAGAATAATTAAATTATCGTTCCAAATGAATGATAAGAAAATTATTCTATTAGAACAATTAAAGTTATCGTTTCAAAAGAACGATAAAAAATCGTTCATTTAGAATGATTGAAGTTATCATTCTAAACAAATGATAAGAAAATCTTTCGATTGGAATAATTAAATTATCATTCTAAAAGAACGATAAAAGAATCGTTCATTTGGAATGATTGAAGTTATCATTCCAAATGAACAATAAAAGGATCATTCGATTGGAATGATAAAATTATCATTTTAAACGATTTAAAATTTTAGATTAATCTGAAATTTTCAGTTCAGTTCAGATTTTTACCAGTTTACGGTTCAGTTCGATTTCAAATTAGCATTTTAAGATTTATAATTGAACTGAACTGAACTAAAATTTTCAGTTCAATTTCAGATTGGCCTATAATCTGGATTGAACCGAACCATTCAGAGCATTAATTAGAAGTATTCTAAAGTGAAAAAATTGCTTCTTATATTTTCAAAATAAATGATACTCAGATACTGGAAACTTATCTAAGAAAAGAAAGGATTACCTATGAAATTTATCAAGAAGAAAGAAAAATAATAAATGTTGGAAAAAGAAAGCATCATGATGATGTATTATTACCTAATAAAAAGCAAAAAATTTAAAAGAAAAATAAATACTATTTTCTTTGATAGTTGGAATAAATTTTCTCAATTACTTTTTTATTTTCAATTAAGATCATCTTTTAATCTCTTTGACTTCAATTTGAATAATTTGACCATTTTGTTGATCTTTTAATTTCCTGTTTTCTTCTTCTAAATGATTAATTTTTTCTTCTAAACTTTTTATCTTATCTAATAACTCCTGTTTTTGCTTTTTATTTTACTCTTCTGATTTTTCCTAAAACTTGGCTACTTCTTCTCTTTCAATTTTTAATTCTTTTTTGGTAATTAATAACTCTTTTTCTAGTTCTTTAATTTTATTTTCTAGGTGAAAACTAAAGACTTATGAAAGTAGTCCTTTGTCAGAAAGTAGTTTAGTTAATTTAGCTTTTAAATAACTACAAAAACATCTGTTTCTATTCCTTTTTAGCCTATCACATTTCTCACATCATAGAAGAATATTATTATCATAATCTTTTTTACATTCATCATAGATAAAGATAATGTCAGAATAACTATCAGGAGTATTATGAGCCACCATTTGATAAGTAGCAGGAGCAGTATCAAAATTAAGAAGAGTTAGATCATCAAAATCTAGAAAGCAGAAGTTATACTCTTGTTCATCTTTTTAGGCTATTTTCAGAATTCTATATTCTAATCTCATATTGGTTTACTTGTTCTTTTGAACAATAAAAGTCTGAAACTTCTTTTTAGTTTTTTCTTTTACCTTATTTACTAATTTTTTGAGTTTGCACAATCTATTTTCTTTTTATTTCTTTGATAAAAATAGTAATTTTTTAGTTGCTAAATAATCTTTTCAGTTTATCTCATGATTTTTAGCAGCTAAATTATTTTCTAATAAATCTATTCAGTCTTAAAGTTTACCCATTGCAGTATCATGCTTCAACACAGTTTCAAACATTTATCATTTTCTTCATTCCATGGCTTTATTTAGTACTTTTTTAGTCTCTTCTTGCTCCATTTATACTTCATCATCTAACTCTTCTACTTTTGCTTTTAATTCCTTAATTTTTTTCAAGCAATTCATTCCTCTCTTTCTCTAAACTAAATGTTAGTGACTGTAGTCTTTTAACTTCTTTATCAGCTTTTGTTTATCAATCCATTACATTTTTAGTCATGTAAATAAGGCGAATAAAACTTTTTTTAAATTCTTTGTCTTCTAAGTGTTTTAATGCATAAGGATGAAATCAAAAATAATTTATAACTACTCTTATCTCTGCTTTATTTGAATTTCAGTTTAAATTACCAATTAGTTTTTTTATTTCCTCCTTAGTTAAAATGTTGTTTTGGTTTGTCATTTATTATTATTATTATTCTTTTTCTTTTAATATACTTATATCCTTTTTATGAGGGCATATTAAGTATATAAATTGTTTTAGTACTTTTTTACTCTAAAATTAACTATATTTATCAATAAATCAAACTTATTAATCTTAATGATTTTATTTGTTACCAGTATAGAATGGTCTTGGATAAGTAATGTCTTTGAATTCATCTCTAACAAATGGATGAATATTCTAGTAAAGATATTCTTGCCTTTTGTAATCCAAAGAAAGTGGTGTTAACACTAAAATAGATAAAGCTTTAATCTCTTCAAAAATATCTGTTTTCTTGATTTTCAATAAATTGAATTCAGTAAAAGATCTATTAGCAATTTCCTAAGCTTTGATCATATCAAGATTAAATGCTTTAAAAAGAAAATGTTGATATTTTTGTATATTTGGTAATTTTTTAAAATAAATTTTCAAAATAGCTTTAATATCTAAGTATTGAAAGCCTTTTCTATTCTTATAACACTGAGTTTTATTCAATCCAGCTAGACTAGATCTTTTCACAATCTTAATTACATAATCTACACAATTTACTCTTATTTTTCTATAGAGTTTTTTTATTAAACCAAAACTACCATCACATTTGAATTTAGTATATTCAAGAATCATGAAATTCAATTCAATGCTTTTATAATAACCACAAATTACTAAATACAGGTAAAACCAAATAGTAGTATTATTTTTATTCTGTTTTCCAGCATTATTACAAGTAATCTTTAAATGCTTTTCACCTTTATTCAATTTCTTAATTCCATCAAAGATCATACTAAGGGTACCATCACAGCAGATTTTTTTGGCTGGTACCATGAATCCGCTGTAATGAGATTAGCTTCACCTCACCACCTCTAGCCAAGTGTTCAATATTTCCAAATTTATTAAATGGTATCCATCGAATAATATGATGTGACTTTAATTTAGATTTATAAAGAAGTCTAGCCTTTTTCTCATTCCCACATTTATTTATTAAAATTTCCTTTTCTATTTAATTCATCATCTATTTCAATTAATTTATTACCTAATTGTTTGATTTTTCTCTTTTTTTCTGTCCCATTTTTTTCTGGCTTTATTAGTTCATAATATTCATTAAAATTTATTTCTTTTTTTATATCTTTTATATTATCTTTTTACAACTAATACAATTTTCTATTATTTTTAATGTTTTAAGTAATTCATTTGATAAGTTGGTAGTTCTATTAACATTGCTTTTATCAATTAATTCATTTAATGAATTTAATAGCTTATTTATTTCCTCCATTAATAAATTGGTAGTTCTAATATTAATAACACTTTTATCATTTAATGAATGGAATGGCTTATTCGCTTTACTTTTATTAGCACCCATTTTTCTTAAAAAAATTTCTTTTAAAAAAAATAAATTGATACAATATTTATTTTTTTATTTTATCTCATCGTAATGAACCATTCGTCTTGCAGAAAAAAAAATTATTGATTCACGTCTCAAAAAATATAGGTCATAACTATGTGTATTATATAAATATTGACATAATGCTTCTCTTATGATCGTTTTGAGAACCATTCTAGTTATTAATTAATTATTTTATTTATTATTTTCATTTTTACTATTTTTTAACCAAAAAAAATATATATTATGACTGTGATATTAAATGACCTTATTTTTAAAGAAATGGTTAAATATTTAATAAATAGTATTGTAAATTTTCCATTTTTTTTTTGATAAAAAAAAAGCTATTACAGTCAGACCTGTATATAATCACACTGTATATAGTCACACCCTTATATAAGAACACATTTTTGTAGAACAGACTTAAAGTATATTAAATTACCTCTTTATAGTTACAAATTAATTATAGTCACTATCACACAAAATTCTTAACGTATATATCATTTCTATTAAAAAATCTACCTCTTTATAATCACAAGGTTTTTGATTGGTTTATATTAAAAAAATCTGATTGGTTGCATATCATAGTTTAAAAAATTTTGATAAGATTGATAATCAATAATTTTATATAGATTTTAAATGTAATACATTTAAAATATAATACTTTAAAATGTAATGCACAAATGTTATAATTTTTTCATTCTATAGAGAGTTTTTTTTCTCACATCATATCAATATATTGAATAAAAGAGAGTGATGTTTAAAATGTCATGCTTTTGTAAGAAATTCTTTTTTTATTTTCTGGTAAACCCTTCTAATATTCACATCCTCCTTCCCACCAAGTAGTATTTCCTCCTTATAATGCCTGTTGATTGTCCCAAAAAAAGCTGTTCAGCAATAAGTGTTAGCTTTAAACACCAAATTTGTGAATGGTCAAATAAAAATAAAAATAAGAAACAAGAGGAAATTGCCGCCCATTTCAATGAACAAAACCCAACTCTAAATATTGATTATAGTATCATGTCAAAGATATTGGCACAAAGTGAAAAATGGAGTACTATATTAGAAATTGAAGGTTTTAAAGAATTTACAGACAAAAAGGAGTCAAATTTTCAGAACTTGACAGGACTATAAATTTGTGAATAGAAAATGTAACAGCAGGCAGTGTGATCTTAACAGATATATTAAAAGAAAAGGCAAGATTTTTTACCAATGCATTTTTTATACAAGAAGATGAGTTGGTATTTTCTAATAGTTGGTTAGATAGCTTTAAAAAACATAATAATATTCACTGGTATCAGATATATAAAGAATCTGGAAATGCGCTAATAGCATCTCTACCAGAAAAAAAATTAAGTTTTGTCAGCTTTTGAGCCAGTATACTCTAATAGAATTTACAATATTGATGAGACGGATCTTTATTATAAGATGTCTCTAAATTAAACACTTTCAACTAAACCAGTTCATGATGAGAAGAAGGACAAAATACGAATTACAGTTCTTCTTAGTGTAAACGCAATAAGAACTGATAAACTTAAACTATAGGTAATTGGTAATGCGAAACGTCTAAGACTTCTTTCAAAAATTAATTTAGAACAGCTTCTAGTTCATTATCGTGAGAATTCAAAGACATAGATGAACTCAACAATTTTTGAAGAAGTTCTTCATGAATTGGATAGCTATTTTAGAGCAAAAAATAAAAAAATCTTGCTTTTGGTTAATAATGCACCATCACATTTTGATTCACATTATTTACTAACTGAGCAAGATGTAGATAATGATGAAGAGACTGAATTGATATCTAGTAAGTTTTGAAATTTAAATTCTTTTTATTTTTTTGTTCATTATATAAATTTTAATATAACTTACTATTAGAATTCATTATCAAAGATTTAATTAAAAAATTATAGTTTATTAATTATCATATACACATTTTTTTGTTACATAATTTTTTTTGTTACATATTTTTTTTATTACATATTTTTTTTATTACATATTTTTTTTTATTACATATTATTTTTGTTACATTTTTTTTGTTACATTTTTTTTTTGTCACATTTTTTTTTGTTACATATTTTTTTATTGTTATAAATAAAATTTATTTATTATTATATAATAAACATGATAATTAGCAAATATTTAAATAAAAATAATTTACCTAAATTTTTTTATATAGAAAATTGAGCTTTAAGAGGCCGTGGTAATCGTGAATCTAGAGGCCATAATAGAGATTGCAGTAGAGATCGTGGTGAAGGTCATCATGATGGAGATCATAATGGTGAACTAAGCAATCGTGAATCTGAAAGTCGTAGACCTAATATTTCTCAGCTTCAATTAATTCATATCAAAGTGGCTTTTTTACCCTAATACTATAAGTCATCTTCAGCCATTCGATGGTGGAATAATTGCAAGCTTTAAAAGTTATTATAAGAGGAATTTTTGTCATCATATGTTAAACCTCTTTGAAGATGGCAAAGATATTAACAAAGAAAAAATCAACATTAAAGAGGCAATTAATTATTTAGTAGATATATAGGGACAAGTAACTGAAGAAACTATAAATAACTGTTAGAAAAAGACTGGAATTTTATCTTCCTTAACTGATGAGGATATTGATAATGTGACACAAATTCAACAAAATTCTACAGATTGTGAAGCAGCAAATATTGATCAAATTATTGAAGAAATTGAAAAATTTAGTGACGATTTTTATAATGTTTTATTAAAAAATGCATTAACTAATTTCTTTTATGAATTAGAAGATATTTCAACTGAAAATACTCTAAACAATGATGATATTATACAATTGGTTCAAGAGGAAATGCATGATAAAGATAACACTAATAATGATTCTGAAGAAGAACCATTGCTAGTATCTTCAGATGAAGCTTTAAAATCCTTACAAACTTGGATTGCATTTTTTGATTAGCAATAATTAGATGAATTTAGCATTAAAAATGGTCAAATTTTTAAAAAATACTTAAAGATAGTAAAGTGGCTTAAACTTCAATCTTAAAAACAAGTTCCAATTACTAATTTTTTAGCAGTCATGAATTTAATAATTGATTTATAAGTTTTAATAAATATAATAATAAAATCGATTACAACTAGAATAAATCATATAAAAAATAAAATTAAAGTTGTGTTTCTGATTTTTTAATGGAATTTCACAGTGATTTACAGTATATTTTATTTGTAAAACCAATTTAACCTTTAAATAATCACCACATATTTTTTTTAATATATTTGTGACTATATAGAGGTAAACCTTTTACAATCACACCTTTATATAGTCACTCATTTTTATGGAATTAATCATATGACTATATACAGGTCTAACTGTATTTTATATATTGTTTTTATTATTTTTAGTGAAATAAAAAATATCTGAGCAAAAAGGATTAAGCCCTGGTTATATGTAATCATATATATAATATAAAACTAGAGTGGCGAGTAGTTAGCACTATTCTTTTAATAAACATTTACCCTGGTCTCATTGGATAATAATTGCTTCACTTTTTCTTTTCTTTTGTCCAGGAGACATTTTGATATTTTTTTTTTAAAAAGAAAAGATTAATATTTGATTGATGACACACGTGTGTATATACAACTTATATAGTGTGCGTATTCTAAAGAAACTACCTTATATTTAAAAATTTAACTCTGTTAGTTGATAGCATAGGTTTCTCTCTCTCTCTCTATCTTTAATGTAACAGAGAGATTTTCTCAAAAAAATTGTTATACAGAACATGTGATTTATTAAAGATTATCATAATTTTATGCAGGTTCTTCTGTGACATGTGTGAACATTATTTATTAAGTTGTCATAAAGACTTTAATTAACACAAAATATTAGTATTATTATTTATCAACTAACTAAGGCTTCAAACTATTATTTTATTTAATTCTTATACAATAATGAACAATAGAATATTTCGTTTTAGCTTGTAGAATATATTTAGTATATTTGATTTTAAATGTAATATAAAGGGGAATGTCATTTTATATGTGAGAATAGGTGGATTCTTTTGTCTTTACTTATTACGATCATAATTAATAATTAAATAAAAACACAAGTTATAATAACAACTCTACATAATTTTATATTAAATTAATTGAATAATTGGTAAATTTGTTCAATCGATTATTTGGGTAATTCTCATAATAATTAATTAATTAAGTAAATAATAATTTCAGCTTGATAGGAGCAGCAAGAACTAAATACCCAAGATTAATTGAGGATTAGTGAAAGATTAATTCGTTAGGAATGAATTGAATCTATAACAATAATTTCAGCCTGACAGAGGCAGCGAGAACTAAATACCTAAGACTAATTGAGAATTAGTATAAAGATTAATTCATTAGGAAATGAATTGAATTTATAAGGACAATTAATTAATTAATATTTACGTTTAGAAACAAAGTTCAGAACAGAATTAAAAATAAATAAAACCAATAAATAAAACTTATTAAATTAAATAAGATCTACTCAGACACATCACAGTTCTAAAGTTCTATTCTTTTTTAGTACATATATTTTACTATTACTATGTTCACGAAAATATGTATCAATACTAATATTTATATTAATATCATTTTAATCTCTCATCGACACAAAATAACCCCTTAATGGCGCTAATTTTTTGGCTATACTGATTTCAAAGTATCGGCTCACCCTTCTTTTCTTCCTATATTCTATTAATTCATTTCGTGTAGTATTAATGCTTAACTATATTCACAAAAAATGTAATTAATAGTTTGATACGAGCACATAAAATGTAAATAGAAAAATGAAAGCATGCAAATACTTACAGCCTATTTGACTACTACCTTATATAACCAAATAAAGTTCGGCATATCAACCCAATCTTTTGGTAGGCCAAAATGATCAACTTTGAATAACCAATGAACACCTAAAATTGTATTTATTAATTTTCAGATTATTTGAAATATTTTAATACAAATTTACGTAATGTATTATATACTTCTAAAATCCATCACAGTAAATGATAATTTGGTCTTAAATGCCATTAAACTATATACTCGTAAGTCAGTAAAGAGTCGTCAGCGTGCATCAGCTTCTTCTATAATAATATTATTATATAATGCTGCCATGCTGCCTGCATTTTTGGTGTTATCATCAAAGCATTTTTTTTTGCGATGCATCTGGTCTAGCTCTCTCACCACAAACTATCAGGTAGTTCACAACATCGTTTAGAAATCCCACTCCATTGGTTCGTATTTTGAACTCAAGATCTTTCAAAGGTATTTCTCTACTGTATAACATGAAAATATTTTATTCGTACTATAATTTATATAGAAAATATAAGTTCAAGCTACTTACTATATGTAATTAATTTTAGCAAAAATCCATAGTGCTGAATCAATTATAGGATATACGAATTGATTAAGATGTGATTTTTCAAAAAATGTAATATCCCTCAATGGATTTGAACCCTCTAGCGAAAATGCTTTTAAACTAAATATAATGAAAAATAATTAGTAAATTAATTGTACAAATATTACTAAAATCGATTGCATAAATTTTCTCTCTAATCCTTACAATTTTGGTAATGTTTCTTGAATTAATTTTTTTGTATTTTTTAAGAGCTCCGATTCATGTGCGTTAAAATTCATATTATTTATGGCATTACCCCAACCTTATGCAGTAAGGTCTTTGTTAAAAACTTTGTAAGAAATTTGTGAAAATCATCTGTAATATACAGTATGAAACAAAAAACCAGAATTTTTTAAATACATATTATGCAAAAACTAATGATACTAACTAAATAAAATTTATATATATTTGAAGCTAAAAACTAGCTAATTTTATTAATATTTTTTTTTAGAACGGAGTTCGTTCACTATTATTTTCTATAATAAGTTCACATTAACATTTCATTAATCCTACTAATCCAATTAGGGTCGATTCTGAAATATCGTCCTATTCTTTGATCATATATTAGTGTAAATCATCAGTATTCTTTGGCATTTTCTTTTCCACATTCCTTTTAATAATACTCCAAAGGTTTTCTATCAGATTTAGGTCCAGACTGTTAGAAGGCCAGTCAATAATTTCAGGAAAATTTTTCTGAAGAAATTTTTTGGTATAATTGCTGATCATTGTCTTGCTGAAAACACCATTCATCTCCCAACAAGTCTTCAATCTCTGGAAGGTAGCTACGGAGTATGTTTACATAAAATTCAGCATTCATTATTTGAGAAAAACTATATAAACTTATTTTTCCTTTTACACAAAATCCTTTTTATGCAAAGATTTTCATTCAATCTTTAGGCATAAGACATATCAGTCGTTGTCTTTTATACCAGCATTTTACAGTATTCCAGAATAGCTGGAAGGTAGTCTCATCTGAAAATAGAGTTTTGTCCTAATCATCATTAAGATGATTCTGGGCCTATTCTACCCGTTTACATTTATGGTCTGCGGTCAATATCAGCGTTGCTTTTAGAAGGTCTTTTTGGTATCCAATTTTGGCTAAATACCTTCCTACTTTCTTATAGGACACATCCACATCTTTCAATGACAACCTCATTAATAGGATTCTTATTGAAATAGAAGAATCCCAGCAGACAAATTTGACTAATGCTCTTGATGCATTAGCTGTAATCTTTTTTGGGCGACCATTTTCTTCTACACGCTGAATCGTCTCAGACTCACGAAGCTTAGTAAGGTTATCGTATACAGTTATGAGAGAAATTCCAGTGTATTGATGGATTTCCCTAGCCTTCTGAATACTCTGATTCCATAATTGTAAGATCGTTTAACGGTTAGTTTCTTGTCTGAAGGTTATCATTTCTAATTAATTGAATTTTAGGTTTTTTTTTAAAAAATTAAAGATATTGAGAAGAAGAAATGAAAAAAAAATTTTAATATTTAGTAATACAAAAAAAAAATTATATACTCATTTACCTTACGATTATTTTCCTTTTTACATAGTTCAGATCAGACTTGATTTGGCTGAGATCTGCATCATTTTATTTCTCAAAAAAAATTCCAGTTTTTTTTGTCTCACACTATAGCTATCGATTTCATTAAAAATTTCGTGTAACACTTTTATTTGAAGGTCTGAATCCAAGAGTATCGAAAATTTTGATTTTGGTCATAAATCTATTATAAACGTTTTGGAGAATTTATTTAAAAAGATTTTTGTAACTTCATTTATAACAGATGAAACTTCAATTGAACCTTCAAGGATATCCTTGACACATATCGTCTATAGAAAATAAAAAATCATTATTTTTTCCCAAAAATATTATCAGAAACACATTTTTTTACTAACCATACTTTCATCAGCAGCTATATATTCACCTTCATTTTCTTCCTGTTCATTATTAACAATAGTCTGTGTTTCTGTTCTAGAATCTTGATTTTCAGAATCCCTAATGTCTTGATCGTTATTCAAAGACTAGAATACAGTATATCAGAAGATCTCAATGAAATGATCCAATTGGTTTATGTTTCAAGAATTTAATAAATAATTAACAAAATATCTACTATTGCAAATTTTTCGCTAGTCTTTCCTGTAATAGCCGTTTTATCAGTAATGACACTTAATTCAACATTTACTTTATATTGATCCTATGATAATATATTAAAAGTTAATTTTTAATCGTAAAGTACACATAATAGATCATTAACGTTATCAACCTCAGCAAATTTTAGATCTTGACTTTTAATGAAATTCAAAATCTCTTTTCATTTTGTCAGAGTTTCCTGCAGATTTTTAAGAAGTTTGATGGCCCTGTTTCTTGCTACCAGGTGAAGACTTTTGTGATTAGATAAAATTTCTAATTGTCTTTTTAAGAAGTCACTAATATTACTCATATTTTTACTTGTAAAGTTAATGTTACTTGATATGTAATGCAAGACTTCAAATACACTCCATTTAGTATAATCATTCAACTAAAAGTAATTTACAATTTGATTTTTGAAATCCATCTTTCAAAATAATAAAATTATTATTAGCTCTACAAAAGAAAAATATAAAAAATCAAAATCATGCAACAATAACATAAAAATACTGGCTTAATGCAATGCTTTTTGGCTAGAGGGTGAAAGGCGTGAACTACAATGAGAAAGTTTGAAAAACAATGCATTAATAAAGATAGCTCTCCAAATCTCTACCAAGCATCCACCACAGAGAGGTACATAATGCAATTGCTATGCTTTGCTCTGCAGGTTAGGAAGCATTACATCTAATATATTAGAGGCAAGAATGCAGGTGTGAACTACAATGAGAAAGTCTATCTAGACAGATAAATGATGCGTCAAAGAGGATAGCCTACACCTTACTCTAAACAACAGCTGCAGGAATTAACTAGACAGTAAAACAATCTAACTCTGCTGTACAGGCATTGGATATTGTAGGTCAGCAGAAGTAATTTTGCCTTAACAATAACAGGAAAGCGTGTGGTGAAAAGAAAAACACATTTTCATGTCGATCTGCATCAATCAAAATTTTTATTTACTTTTTTAAAAATGAACCAATTTCAGGGTGGGGGACATAATAAGGCATCCAATAAAATTTGTCCAACTTAAAAATTTAATAAAAAATTTTTCGGAATATTTATCCAAAATATCTCAACATAATTTGATAGATATTGATCGGCCCCATAATATAATGTTAAGATTATTCTGATTAAACATCAAGATAAAAAATTATTAAGCCACAAAGTTCGAATATTTTTCTAAGTGAATGAAGATTTGAAACAATAATTTCAGCCTGAATTAAGACAAATTTCTATAATGTGGGCCAGATCAGAATCTATAGGCCTGATCAGCTAATTCATTTGTGCATCTAACGCTTCCTTATATATAGTTTAGTCTACATGCATATGTATCAACTGGTTGGACTTACAAATGCCATGTTTAAAATGGCAAAAACAACATTGTAAAGATTTAGCAAAGAAAAGAAAACTCGAAAGTAAGAAAAGTTATGATATCTCCAATGATATTTTAAATTCAGATGATGAAGATAGCACAGAGGATGAAATTGAATGGATTGATGATCAAATTGAGAATGAGGCAGAATGCCTTTTTTCAGTTTTAATCAAAAATATAAAGGTGTTAAACTTATCCAAGTGTCCATAATATATTTAAAAAATTCATGCACAACCAAATATCAAAAAAAATTGAAGCATTAAAGGATAGAAAAAAAATGGGCAAACCCTTTATCAACTATTATCTAGCTCTGGTAGTGGTTCTGGTGGTAGTTTTAGTGGTGATTCTGTTGGTAGCTCTAATGATAATTCTGATGATAATTCTGGTGGTTATTCTAGTAGTAGATTAGGCAGTAATCCTAATATTAATTCTGATATCAGTTCATATGATAATTTGGGTGATATAAAAAATATACAAGCATTTATTGATACAATTGAAAACAAATTAAAATCTGAAAATGAGCACTTAACTTCAGAATATAAAATCTGACTCAAAGTTACTCAACACTATTTACAATTCCTTAACAAAGATCATACGAAATTAAATGCAAGTCAAGTTATTGCAAACATTTTTAATCGAGGAGAATGGTTTGCTCGCTGTATTAAAAGTTGGGCTAAAACATTTATTAATTATGGTGATATTTCTCAAAGTAATTGTGAAAAACATTTTAAAGGAAGCAGTATTCTTGATAATAAGGATGTTTAACTAAAAGTGGCATCATATTTGCGACAACATAAATTTGATGTAACCGTTACCAGTTTTTGTGATTATATTTTTAATGAGATTTTGCCTTTTATTGGCATAGAAAAAAAAATAAAATTAGGTAAGCTTTATTTATCACATTATATTTTATAAATTATTTTATATTATATTTTATTAAAATTTTTATATTTTTATAGTAAAAAAATGGCAATTCGATAATTAAAAAAAATGGGATTTGTATTTAGTTAGTATATAAAAGGAATGTATATTGATGGTCATGAGAGAGATGATATTGTTGCTTATCGAAAAGAATTTCTTGAAACTATGGCTAGGTAATAAATTTATTTTTAATTTATGTTTTAATTTATTTATAATTTTTATATTTACATTTATACATATAATTTTATAGCTATCAAAGTTTAATGCCAAAATTTATTGGTAATGAACTTGAAATTAGAATTGATTCTAAATTAAAAGGTGAACAAAAAATACATGTTCTTATTACTCATGATGAAACAACTTTTCAATCAAATGATAGATGAAAATCAGGTTGGAGACCTAAAAATGAGCAACCTTTACGAAAAAAAAGACAAGGAAGAACAATTTATGTTAATGATTTTTTAACTAATACAATTGGAAGATTAAAAATAAATGAAGAAGAAATTGATAATACCATTCTAAGTGAAGCCTGTGTTATAATTAATCCTGAAAAAAATTTTGATGGATGGTGGAATATTGATCAATTAATTGATCAGGTATTTTATTATAATAATTAATATAATTAAAATTATTAAATTAAAATTATTAAATTAAAATTATTAATTAAAAAAAATTTTTTATTTTTTAGATTAAAACTAAAGCTATATCAATTTTTGAAAAACACATCTGGGTATGATAGTTATATTTGCCTTTGATAATTCTTTTAATCATGCAAAATTAGCTAATGATACTCTTAATACAATGAATATGAATCTTAATCCCGGTAGTAAACAACTAATTATGCGTGATACAATATTCAATGGTCAAGTTCAAACTATAATATTTTCTTTTGATTATTCTGATGAAACACTTCGTGAAAAACCTAAAGGAATGAAAATAATTTTACAAGAACGTGGTTTATGAAATTAAGGATTAAAAGCTTTTTGTGATAAAAGTGATATATTATTAGAAAATCCAAAATGTTGTGCATGTCATATTTTGTCTATTCAAGAGGATTTTTATAATCAAAAACTATTATTGTAGAAAATTATTGAAGAATTAGGACATAAAGTAATATTTTATCCAAAATTTTACTGTGAACTCAATTATATTGAAATGTATTAGAAAGCTGCAAAACGATATACCTGACAATATTGCAATTATACATGAAAAGGATTACAAGAAACAGTCCCACGTGCATTAGATTTAATTCCTTTAAATTAAATATGTAAATATGCTAATAAATCAGCAAAATTTATGGAATGTTATCGAAAAAGATTAACTGGTTTACAAGCTGAATATGTTTTTAAAAAATATAAATCACATCAAATTGTTCCAGATTATATTTTTAAAAATATTGATGAATTAATAAACAAAATTTAATATTGTCATGTGATTTTTCTAGCTAATTAAAATTTAATATTATGATAAACACGTGATTATTAATAAAATTTTCAAAATTGAAAATACATAATACGTATCTTTTTTGTACAGTACTGTACTCAAGCTAAATCTTATAGTTAGTACAATTAGTACAGTTATAAATTTAAAATCTAAAGACTGTATGTTTTACCCAAAAGTATTTAATTGGAAATATAATTTTAATTATATAATTGAAATATAAAGTTAATAATATAATTATTTCACTAGTCAAAATAGTCCAAATCAGCTAAAATTCAGATGGCCGATTTTAGGCTGATTTTGATACTATTTACGGCCAATTTGCCATGGTTTCTGATCAGCACAAACAGGTGCTGATAGACACTGATTGATCCCAATTGGACATGGTCATTCAGCATCAATTCAAAACTTAAATTCAACCATAAATCAGCCTAAAACTGGCCTCAATTCAGCAACAATTTAGACGTTGATAGATGCTGATCAACTCCAATCGGACATAGCCATTCATATTAAATTCAACCATAAATCAGCCTAAAATTGACCTTAATTCAGCATCATTCAGCATTAATTCGAAACTTAAATAACATAAATCAGCTTAAAATTGACCTCAATATAGCATCATTTGGCATCAATTCAGAACTTAAATAACCATAAATCAGCCTAAAATTGATCTCAATTCAGCATCATTCGGCATCAATTCAGAATTTAAATAACCATAAATTAGCCTAAAATTGGCCTCAATTTGGTATCAATTCAGTCAAATAAGCATATAAAATCGATATATTATATTTATTAATTTTATTAAATATTATAATTAAATTAATAATAAAAACCTAATATAATTTGCAAAAACATAACATAAATATTACCAAACTCACTGATTAATTTTCTATTTTAAAAATATAAGTAAAAACAGAAAAACCATGTAAAATAATAAAAATATAATCCATTTTCCTCCTAAAATTCCCTTAAAATTGTCCTAAATATTCATTATAGTAATATTATCATTTTCAAAAAAAAATCAGAAAAATTGACTAAAATTTAACTTAAGTTTCGTCTGATTTGATAGTTGAAGGCATGTTTCTATTATAAAAAGTAAAAAAAATCAAAAAAATTCAACTTAAATTTCATCCGATTTGATGGTTGGAGGCATGTTTCTATTATAAAAAGTAAAAAAATCAGAAAAATTCAACTTAAGTTTCGTCTGATTTTGATGGTTGGAGGTATGTTTCTATTATAAAAAGTAAAAAAAATCAGAAAAATTGACTAAAATTCAACTTAATTTTCGTCTGATTTGATAGTTGGGGTATATTTCTATTATAAAAAATAAAAAATCAGAAAAATTGAACTTAATTTTCATTCAATTTTGATGGTTGGAGATATATTTCTATTATAATAAGTAAAAAATGAATTTATTTTTAAAAAGATGACTAAAATACAGCTTTTTCTTCATCTGATTTTGATAGTTAAAGGTGAAAATTAACTAAAATTCAATTTAAGGTCTTTTTGTTTTTGGGTCAATTTTTTTTCAGAATTTTGGTGGAATGTAAAAAGAGAAAATTTGGAAATAATTGAAATTATTTTTTAAAAAATTAAAAAATTAAGCTTATTAATATAAATATTTCTATATATTAGAGGAACGATAATACCATCGTATCTTAGGAACAATAACATCATCATATCTAAGAAATAATAATACCAACATTCCTTAGGTACAATAAAACCATTATACTTAAGAAACAATAATACCATCATTCCTTAGGAATGATAAAACAATCATTCCTTAGATACAATAAAATAATTGTTCTTTAGATACGATAATATCATCATCCCTAAGGGTTACAGTATATTTCGCTAAAACCCATTCTGCCAAAACCCCTTTGTCGAAACCAATTCACTGAAAGGATATTTTGCCGAACGGCCACTTCGCCGAATGTCCATTTCACTGAATGGACTTTTTACCAAAAAGAAATTTCACCGAATGAACATTTTACCAAGAGGATGCTTCGCCGAAATGACATTTTGCTGAATCCATTTTGTCAAATAGATACTTTACCGAATCCATTTCACTGAAAAGACATTTTGCTAAAAACGTTGTCACGATGGTTTCGTGGCTTCAAATAAAATCTCAAAAGGGGTAAATAAAACTAAGACAATTACTCAAGGAATCAC